GGAGGCGCTGGGCACCTGGGCAGTTGCCGGGAACAGTTGCCACAATAAACCGAATCACAGAAACCTGGGAACAGTGTGGCAGTGGGACTTTTGTAACTGAAAACTGGGATGCAAATTGCAGCCCTCTCCAAAGGGAAGCGAGGGAGGGCGCGCGCTGGCCGAGTTAGCGTTCGGAGCGCGGGAGTCGCGAGCGCCCAGCGTGGGCTCCTTTCCCCGGGGGCACCGTGGCGCACGCCCCACCTCAGTGCCTTGGCCACGCCCTCGAGCTGGTGGCTTTTGCACTTCAGACTCCGTGGGGACCGTGCAGGCGACTGCGAGGAAGGCGCCGAAGGAGCCCAGTTGGTGGAAGCAGCTCTTGGGGACCCGTGGGCGGCCTGGAGAGCGCCAGACGGCAGTGTCACAGGGTGGCCACGGGAGAGGACGGTCACGCTAACAGAGATCCAGATACTGAGGATCGTAAACAGCCCAGCAGCTGGGAAATGGGTCATGCAAATCATTTTTATAGAACATGTATTTTATGAGCTGTTAGGAAAGAGCACGGATGTGCCTCTTTCGCTCAGAGAATGAAATTAAATTAAAACTGTGTAATCCATCAAAAAAGGCAGACTGCTCAAATGAACGAGCTGCTCTTTCCTGGACTTTTTCCTTCTTATTCTATTTTCAATTAATTTTTATTTTAGAAAACTCTTTAGAAATTTATTTAGAAAAGGGATTTTATAGATTATGGACCAAGGGCCTATTTTACAGGCTGCAAATTTAGGCTCAGAGAGATTGAGTGACCTAGATGGTGGCGGGGCCCAACTGGGAGGACTTGTTAATAAGGGATCCATGGTAGGAACCAGGTGGCCAGACTCAGTCCCTCCAGGTATCCACCTAGGAAAATCCTAGCAAGGGTTCTTGGAAATGTAAAATTGTTGGATCCTTCCAAGGAAATTAGAGGTCAGCTCTGCTATAGGAAACTGGTTGTTTACTTTATAGCGTTTAAATTCATTTCACTCTCCTTACTGCTTGGATGATGTCTGTGAATATTTCTTTACTAAAGCTGAAGGAGGGGAAAGATAAAACTGACGTCAAAGCATTATATTTATTGAGCAACAAGCACTTAAAAATTGTGAATTAAGAGTCAAAACAAGACTAAATGGTGTTTGGAGAACATCTCTGAAAAAATTAACTCATGGTGTAATGAGTCACAGGAAATGTTCCAACTGGAACCTGGAAACTGGTCAACTAGAATAATCCAGCACAGGGGACACCTCAACAGTGTTCTTGAGAAAGTCTAATGAAAGGTTGTAGGGTGAACTATATGAGTGCAACACTGTAGACAACAGAGGTTTGCTGGGACATCCATGTGAATAAATAGGGTGGTACCCAAATGTATTGTACAGGTATCTTTTGAAGCATCCTATGACTACAGTCCGAAGTTGTGAAAATGCCTTTTTCCAGGGATGGGCTAGAGCCTGCTCCTACTGTCTCTTGAGAGCTGATTGTCAGAAAAACTTGGACCTGGCCATTAAATACAACCATTATTAAAATTTAGGTTATATAAACTTACAATTAAATTAGTTCTATTGAATCAAAAGTGACAAATACAACTCATCAGTTCTTATTTTATTACAGGTTACAGTTATGGGGTTTTTGAATTTATTTATGTTGTATCTGTATAGTGGAACTGTCATATAATGGTGGGTCATTGGGTTCCTCTTCCCACGTCCATGTTCAGTGACATCATATTGGTATTTTGAAGTCATCCAAGGTAAGAATAAGTGCACCCTGAATGTCAATCAATGCTACAGATCGGGGCTTCTCCTCCCCCCCCCCCAAGCTGGTTATTAAACATGTACCAGCTCGCACTGCCCTTTCCCCTCTATTCCAGAAAGAGGAGGAATGACTCTGCTCTGTTCACCTCCCCCTCTGCCAACCTCTCTCTGCAGTGAAGTGGCCTGGACAGGGGACAGGTGGGTATCAGGCCACATCTCCCTCCACACCGGAGCTGGGCGCTATACCAAGGCTCTGGCTCTGGGTCCAGGTCCTTAACTAGCAAGCCCTGGTCCTGGGTAACCTGTTTCCACCCTGAAGACTGCTTGAGAAAAAGTCCTTGGATTCTCCCCAAGGCAGGGCCATCTCTTGCTCTTTAAAGCTTGACTATTACCCTTGCTCTTTCTCGGCAATCCTGAATACTCTTGGGAAGGTTCATTCCCTGCTTCCCTCCAGGATATTTCTTTAAGCCTGAGGCTTGTCCTGAGCTCTCTTCTCTGGAGTGATAAGGTTATTATAAAGCAAGGGGAGAATGAAAATAAAGTCTACTAGGCAAGCAAGTATAGAAGAAAAGAGACACGGACTTCATTTGATCAAGGTGGCTCAGCCTAGGAAGCTCCTCGATGCGTCAGATTGCAACCAGGAGGGCAACAGGCCTGAGTGCCACTGCAGTTTCCCGTCCCTCTCCCCTGGGGCTGAAGGGAGCTTTGTGAGCTAGTGGGTCAGGGTGAAGAAGAAAAGAAAACCCTTTCTTGCCATCACCCAGGCTCTGGAGTCACGTTTCCCCTCTTCCCTCTGTTCTGAGAGTTACCCTTCCCGGGATGACTGATAAGCCAGAGAACAGAGAGGTCCCCCTGCAGGTAGTGGTCCATCCAGGCAGGGTCTGTACCACACCGCTGGAGGGTTTCAAACTTCACATTGAAACCTTTCAATTTCACTTCAGACCCTGGGCTTGTCTAGGAAATGGGGAGTCACATGAAGAAATCCGTTCTGAACTCAACACCAAATTCACTGAGTTTGCTAGCATTCTTCCTATGAATAGAAATATTATATACTGACCTTTATTCCCAAACATATCTCAACTGACTAATAATTATTATAGAAACAGCTGACATTTTTGATGCTTGCTAACATTTAGGTAAATGAGGGAAGCTGATGGCTATGTTGGTATTTTTATTTTAACAGTCAATTATTGGCTTAAAGCAAGGATTGGAAAACTATGCCCCATCCCAGGCCAAATTCAGCCCACTGCCTGTCTTTGCCTGACGCATGAGTTAAGAATAGATTTCATATTTTCTAAATGGTTGGGGAAAAAAAGAAAAAGGAAGAACATTATTTAGTGATTCATGAAAATGATGTGAAATTCAAATGTCAGTGTCCACAAATAAAGTTTTATTGGAACACAGACACTCGTTTTGTTTACACACGAGTATCTATGGCTGCTGTTGTGCTACAAGAGCAGAGCTGAGTAGCTGTGACAGAGACCATATGGCCCGCAGAGCCAAAAATATTTATTATCTAGCCTTTCCCAAAAAATATTTGCTAATCTCTGATTTAAAATGATAAAGTAATTTCCACAAGGGTATTAAATAACTACATGGAATCCTGTCGGGCTGCAAGAGCTTATAAGGTTTCCAGAAGGACAAGAAAACCTCCCGGGGACTAGCTGCCTCACAGGGGGAATTTATCTCATTAACTAACTGAACTCCAGGCCTGTAAAACATTTTAAGTGGCTTCATTCAGCTGCTAATACCCTCCCCATGTGTTGCTTGAAACACCCTGTTCAACAGGAGGACTGTGGAGTGGGGACAAAACCTCTCTGTGTTGCTCTGTGGCTTTGCATCCCAAGTCCCAGTGCAGGGAACATCGTAGTTTCTGGAAAAAGAAAAGAGAGTGCCAGATTGTAAGAAACGGGTGGCATTTCAAGAGTCATCTTGCATTTAAAGACCTCATTTAAAAACCCCATATTGTTCTGGTTCTTCGTGTTCCTTTGTCAGACACTTCAACCCAAACATTGTATTTTTGGAAAGCAGTCCTCTGCTTCACACACACGCTGAGTGGCTCAGATGTGAGGGGCCTCCGAAGTTTGTATCCCCGGAATCCGCTGGGGCAGGTTGCCTCAGTAACAGTACCGAGCACAT